GATAACAAATGATAACAAATGATAACAAATGATAACAAATGATAACAAATGATAACAAATGATAACAAATGATAACAAATGATAACAAATGATAACAAATGATAACAAATGATAACAAATGATAACAAATGATAACAAATGATATGCAAATGGTGAATTTCAGGACTTTTGTAAAAATTCTAATTTTTTCCCAAGAATTACAAAAAATGGCCAAATGCGTAAAGAAAAGTTGCTTATTTTATAAATTTTTACCGATATACCAAGTTTCAAGTTTTTGCCGCATCTTTTGATTTTTTTTTTCAATTTTTCTACCATTCAGTTTTGTGTTACTGGAATTTACGCAAACCTTTATAGCAACATTTAAAAACAAAAATACATTTAAAAGGAGGGCTTCGCGTAAAAAATATTTTATGCAGGTCTGGTAAAATTCCAGTAAACTAAAAACGAACTTTTCGAATACACAAAAAAAAAACAAAAGTTGCGCGAAAAACTTTTAAATTAGTACATGAGTAATAAGTAAGTAACTTTTCTAGGAATTTCTTGAAATTTTTAAAACTAATGCCCTTTGCAATTTTTAGTCCTCTTTCCACCAAAGAATGTGCGTGGGGTGTTTGGATCTTTAATCCTAAGACCTTTCACTAAATTCAAAGACATACAAGCATAATGCCAGATGCATGCCAATTCAGGGTGGCACAAAGAGTCTAGTGAATCAGCAAAACTACTTGCAGATAATATATCGGTCAATGTAATAATGCAAACTAGCAACCAGAAAATAGTTGAAGAAAACAAGAAATTTCTTTTATCAATTATTTTTGCAATAGTGTTTGTTTTGTGGAACTCACGACTTTCCTCTCAGAGGAAAGGATAAACAAGAAGGGTCAACTTTTTTTTATTATTCTTATGCAATAATATACATGAGGGCGGGCGTAAATTAATTATTGTTATATTTTTTATTGTTTCAGGTCTGTTTCGAGAAGCATTAGAAATACTGCTTGCCTTGCCACACACCACGGCCACTATTAAGAGGTCCTTCAGCACTTTGAATAGAGTCAAAACGTGGTTACGTTCAACAATGATTTATTTTTAATATACAATACCAATACTTTGCATTTCCTTGTTTTAGGATTGTACATGATTAGCGTTTAGAGATATTTAGTTCATGTGGAAATGAAGAAACTATTAGTACCAACAGTTCTGGAGAGATTCGCAGAAGTTGGCGTTTCGTCTAAGAGAAGAATATCACTTTTAAACAAAATAATATTTTTTTATAAAAAGTTTTTATTTTATTTCAATTTCGCAAAATTATTCCAATATTGGTAATAAATACTTTTCACAAAAAGCAATAATAATTTAAATATCTTAATACATTCGATTTTGAATTATTTTCTTATTAAATCAAAATAAACTAAGTAAAAAGTATAAAAAATTATGTTATTGTTATTATTTAATAAATTTTAGGACTATTCATATTCAGTATGTCCCCCTAAGTTGGAATCATATGGAAAACTTTTTTATTATTAATTTTAGGAAAAAAAGTTATTCTGCATAAAAAGTTCTGCATTATCTTAAACATAGAATACAATCTTCAAATATCAAATTTTTTAAGTGGTATACAAGGTTTGTCAAAAATATGAATTTTGCTCAAGATTAAAGTATGTTTATTTTGGGCGGAGGTAATTTGCCCACAAAATATTTAAAGCTGCTAATCCTATAGGTAATTTGCCCACAGCAAGTAAAAGGTCATCTTAATCCTGTTGGTATTTTGCCCAAATTTATTTCTAACTGAATAAATCATAATAGATATATCTTTCATTTATTATTTTTTATATATTATCGAAAAGTAAAAACACATTATTAATTAAACTAAAAATTATATTAAACACTAATTTTTATTATTATAAAAAAGTAAGTATACATAAGTTATATTATATTTTTTATATATTTATATTTTATTTACATATTTTTCAACTGGGAGGGATAAATGTGATACAAATTTTATATACTCTAATCTGCTGATTTGCTGCAGATCAAATCGCTGTATAAATTTTTCTAAACACTGAATTTTTTGTTTTACACTTTTGTCTTTGATTTTCTTAGGTATACTTAAGCTTTGTATTGTGACATACGTGTCGATTTGAAAGTCTTTAAGCTTTTCTATAAAAATATATACAGAAGGATGTGTACAGTAGAATGAAGAATTAAACCTTGAATGAAACGACTCACAGGCATTTGTAGTTCTTATAATTGAAGCTGTTTTTTCTGCCCATATACTTGGAGGAAATGTAGAATTTTCTTCAATATATGTTTCTAATAGGTAATCGGCATACCTATCGAGAACGGCATTTTCTGGTTTACTTGCCATTAAGTCAAACACAAAACAGTCTCCAACTTCATCGGCGTTTAAATATGTCAACCCAAATGATGTTTTAAGCCATTTTCCGGTATCACTGTTAGTTGTATATTCAGTCATTAATCCCAGAGACTGAATTTTACGATACCACGCTTGATGTAGATGAAATCGGCAGCCATTGATTACAGTATTAGGCCACATATAAATTAACGCCTTATGAATTGCTATTTCAAAATCAACGAACACTTTAGATGGATTTAAAGCAATACTGTAAGTTTCCAAAATTTTATAATGCAATAACGAAAACAAATGTTTGTATATATCGGTAGATTTGTTTGGTAATAAACAATATACCAGGGGCACATAGTGTCCATTACACAGCCCATGAATGGTAAATAATTGTAGGAAAAACTTTGTACAATACGAAAATGTTCCATCCATATACAAGACGTTCATTTTACACAAAGTACGAATATTTGTCTCACATGTAAATACAATAATATTATTTTCTCTGCTATTTATTAAAAGAAAATGTTCACCTTTACTGGTTTTAAATGTATTAGAATATAAGTCAACTGCATCATGCACTTCTTGTATATTTGTAGGTAATGGACCTGGTAGTATTTTGCGACGACGGTTGTATATAGTTTTTCTTATGTAGAACACATCAATTGTAGTTAGTGACTCTGGTAAATTGGTAGCAAGTACTTTACGGATAATTTTAGAAGGTTTTTCCGAAATATCATCAACTGCTTTTCGCTTACACGAATTAGAAATAATATTCCTGTTTAATTTCGGTTCATTTGCTTCATGGTTATGAATTAGGTTGCCTCTGGATACTAAAAGTTCAGGACCAATTGTAAATACAGTGGCATTACAAGCATTTGTTTTTCTTTGGGAGCATCTCCAAGAAACTTCTCCACTTTTCATTTCTCTATCTTTGGCAAACGTAAAATTCTCCAAAAGGAGTACATCTTTCCCGCGTGTGCTTTTAATCAATGTAGCTGACATTATAGAAATAATTATTGTTTATAAACACTCGAATTACAATCATCAACGTATAAAAACTGACTGAAATATAACCAGTAAACACCCAAAGTAAGTACCTATTAGAATTATTAATAATCAGGTAGGTACCTATTTGTGGGCGGATGTAATTTGCGGGTTTAGGTACCTGAATGCTACTGTGGGCAAAATACCAGTAAGATTAACGCACCCCTTTACTTACACAGGTAGAAAACAGAGATTTGTGGGCAAAAAGGACCCGCCGTTTATTTTTGACAAACTCGAAAATGTTCATTAGGAAAATTGCTAAATTCTTCAAGAAAAGGAAAGCGTATCATGTTTATAGTAGAGAAGAGAGAGAAAAAATTATGGATTACCGTAATTAGGTGGATCAACGCAAAATCTAGAAAAAATCTTATTGTTCAGATAGATCGGTGTAATAGCATATTAAAATGTAATTTTTAATTTTAATCAACTTTTCTTTATAAAAATTTTCGATTTTGTCAAATATAAACGTACTTTACTCTTGAGCAGAATTCATATTTTTTGACAAACCTCGTATACTGTTTGAAAAATTCGATATCTGATGACTGTATTTTAAGTTTTGGGTCATGCAGGACTTTTTATCAAAAATAACTTTTTTTCCTAAAATCAATAATAAAAAGTTTTCCATATGATTCCAACTTAGGGGGACATACTGTATATAGTTTAATAAAATTGTAACATTAAAATAAAGTGTATTTGCTTTAAATTGTGCTCATTTCTATGTTTTTTATCTTCAAGCACTCTTTATATAGTATAAAAATAAGTGTATATATTATCATTTTTCAAATTATGTTGTCCTGCCCCCCCCCCCCCCCCTAGATAAATTCCTGCCTATGCCCGTGCGAGGCGGAGGTATTCTTTATTAGCTGAATATGTTGAAATTCCTTAAACAACAGTTAAACAGCTATTTGTACGAGTTGAAAGTAAGAATAACATACTTATTTTAGGGGGTGTTTACTTTTCTCCATGTTCTGCTGAGAACATATACAGGGTAATTCAAAATTAAGTGCAATGATTTTTAGGGCGTATGTAACAGCTAGAAATAAGACATTTTTTTCATATAATCATGTTCTAACTTGCTTCTTTCTATATACAGGGTGCCAAAGTTTTTTAAAAAATCAGTCATAAGGGCCTTCCTTTGGTGAGTATAAAATAAATTTATTAATTCCAGTGGCGTCTCAGGAGGCTACCTACTTGATACTTATAGGTAAAATTATGGTACGGCACTGCTTTTTTGACAGTTCAAATGTTTTTTAGATTATGCGATTAATAGTGTAACTTTCTGGCCTCTTGAGCTTAACTTGTATCTAGCTTTTTTCCAAGAAAAAAATCAAAATCTGTGCCTGTCCCTATTAAAACAAGTAAAAAATTAATTACTAAATGATGGATATTGTCGCCAAATAGGTCTGTCTGAATTTCATTTATTATTTATTCCAAAGTGTGAGTTTATTTAATTAATAATTGTTAAAAAACCGATTTTTTTTAAAAAACTTTGACACCCTGTATCTAGAAAACGAAGCAAGTTAGGACATAGGATTATATGAAAGTACAGCGCTTTGTTAGGTCATTTTAATATAACTTCATTGACCCAAATACTTACCAACATAAGGTACATATTTAATCACAACAACATGGTCAAGTTTTTCCCCAGGAGTGTATAGAACATTATTCGAATTTATCATATCATCGACAACATTACTTTTGGAGATCTAAAAAAAAACAACATAAACTTTTAAATTCACATGTAATTTTTATTCGTGACAATTAATAAATCAATTTGACTCTATTTTCGTTATTAACATTTCTGAGCAGTTAAATTTTAAAAAGTTTTAATTCATAACATACTCATACTCATAACTGACTTTTTTAAACGTGTTCTTTGGTGCAATTGAATCGGCGGGCGTAATTTCGGCCGGTAATCCCCTCGCCTACCTGCCAATAGCAAAGTGCCCATCTAATGGCATAGGTAATTTCGGCCGAGGGTAATGTTTATGATAGGATTTTGGAATATACCTTTCATATTTCCATTTCTTAGAAAAGTTAAAACATTTACATTTATCTTTCTTTATTTGATTTTCATTAGTTTAACAATGTGATTACCTAATTACAAAGTACCGGACCTTTTGATATTAAGATACTAACCACTTATTTTGTGGGCGACCAAGAGATAGAAAACATCTATATTACATGATGGCAGTTTCGATAGTAAAGAGTTCACGGTTGTGACTTGCTTATTGTAGAAAAATTTTCATTTTGTAAACAAGACGTATTAAAGAGTGGGGAAGTGCGTTGGAGGTGCATCAGGGAAAATTTAAAATGTTTAGCTAAATTGTATACTGTTGGTGCCGAATATATTGTGACCAGGGGGTTAATTCTCGACTTTTATTCCCATGGGAAAATAAAATTTTCCCATGGGAATTCAGTTTTCGTATTCTCGACATAAGCGGTGGAATATTTTCCAATGAGAAGTATGGGAAAATATTCCCCTGCTTACGAGCATTGGAAATTGTATTTTCCAATGGGAATTGTACTAGAGTTTGCGCATTAAAGTCGAAAATTTGACGAAAGACTACGCGAAAGACTAAGACATAACCAAAGATTATTGGATATCTTGGATTTTTGGTGAAATTGTAGTTAAAATATTTTTTTGGTGTATTTATAGATTGATATTATTTTATTTATGTGGGTATATTATTTTTACCTCTTTCACTAAGAAACTGATTTTCTTAAATTAGTTAGAAATTGTGGGAGCTGCTAAGGGACTGGCAAATAGGTAACACAAATTGAGAAATTTGTAGTAAATTTAATAAGACCTTTTCGAAAATTTTATTATTTCCGTTAACGAAAGAATTTCTTAGTTTCTCGAAACTTTCGTTGCTCTTCCATACAAAAGCTACTTTTTCTTTTTTCAATATGTGAAAAGAAAAACTAAAAATAACTCGACAAGTTTTAATTATTATACGTAATCGAATATTTTCACTTGTCCTCGGTCATGCGAGCGATTGCTCGGCATGGCATCTGCTCCAGCGCAGAGGCTCGGCAGGTAATCGGTTATCCAAAAACCACAACAAATACAAATAATGCCAACAGTAAATTTTAAAATATCTTTAATGTTATTGGTTATTTCGAAATATTCGTGAACTTAATATCAGACATACGTGAAACTATTATTTCCATGGGAATGTCTATTCCGACAAGTTCGAGAATTGCATAACCTATTACCATGGGAATATAAGTAGTGGAATCTTTTCCAATGGGAAAATTTTCCAATGAACTCGAGAATCGAGCCTCAGGGGGTCAATTCTCGACTTTTATTCCCATGGGAAAATGATATTTCCCATGGGAATCGGTGGAATATTTTCCAATGAGAAGTATGGGAAAATATTCCCCTGCTTACGAGCATTGGAAATTGTGTTTTCCAATGGGAATTGTACTAGAGTTTGCGCATTAAAGTCGAAAATTTGACGAAAGACCACGCGAAAGTCTAAGACATAACCAAAGATTATTGGATATCTTGGATTTTTGGTGAAATTGTAGTTAAAACATTTTTTTGGCGTATTTATAGATTGATATTATTTTATTTATGTAGGTATATTATTTTTAATTCTCTTTCACTAAGAAACTGTATAAAATGATTTTCCTAAATCATTTAGATATTGTGGGAGCTGCTAAGGGACTGGCAAATAACTCAAATTGAGAAATTTGTAGTAAATTTAATAAGACCTTTTCGAAAATTTTATTAGTTTCGTTAATGAAAGAATTTCTTAGTTTCTCCAAACTTTCGTTGCTCTTCCATACAAAAGCTACCATTTCTTTTTTCAACATGTGACAAGAAAAACTAAGAATAACTCGACAAGTTTTAATTATTATACGTAATCGAATATTTCCACTTGTTCCTCGATCTTGCTAGCGATTGCTCGGCACGGCACCTGCTCCAGTGCGGAGGCTCGGCAGGTAATCGGATACCCAAAAACCACAACAAATACAAATAATGCCAACAGTAAATTTTAAAATATCTTTAATGTTATTGGTTGTTTCGAAATATTCGTGGACTTAATATCAGACATACGTGAAACTACTATTTCCATGGGAATGTCTATTCCGACACGTTCGAGAATTGCATAACCTATTACCATGGGAAGATAAGTAGTGGAATATTTTCCCATGGGAAAATTTTCCAATGATCTCGAGAATCGAGCCCCAGGAGTGAGTTAACTCACAATCATGAACCAGATCAACGTTCTTTGCAGAGAAAAATTGTCACAAATGCATGCAAGCGAAAAGCCCAGGAGGACATATCGGAGAAACCTTAGAAAATTATAAAAAGAGTCCTTTCAACAAATTTACCGGACGAATTGATTACCGCGGATGTAAATATCATAAGAAGAAATGTGTATAACAGTCGTCGTCAGCTCTTGCCAGCCCTGCCTAAAGATATTCATGAAGTACATACTGTAGTGGATATGTATTCTCCTAAAACGACAACAGGTGAAAATTGTTTGTTTATTAACAGTTCAGTTGATAATATCATTGTTTTTCTTGCCAAACAAATATTACTACGTTGTGTAAAATAAATGTTATATACCGGGTGTTCTAAATTAAAGCGTTACAGCTATATACCGCTTTTTATAAAAAAAACGTTTCACACAAAAGTTTTATAGTTTTCAGAAATAAATTAAAATTTATTGAAAATTTGGTAAATATGCTTCGGTCTGGAAAAATTTCTAGATTTAATTTTGTTAAAACTGTATCATATCAAAGTTCGTAAAAATGTAATGTATGTTTTTAGCTCTAGTTTTTAAGTAATTTTGGTTTAATAAAGAATGTTATAGCAATTCTAGATCTTATTTTATTTTACCTGCTCCTTCCGGCCGAAAATACCTATACGATAAGAACGAACCCTTAAACCTCCGGCCGAAATTACATATCCCCTTTAGATACATGTCCTTTTTCCGGCCGAAATTACATCCGCCCAATTGAATACTATATCTAAATTTTTAGGTGAGAACATAATTCCAATAATGTCATGTGACTCGACCGATCGAGTTGACTGAATTTTGTTATTAATAAGTGACAAGTGTTGTATTATCGCTGTGGCACATCCCAGGCAGCACAAATCTCAACAAACATTTTGCCATTGCAAGTTAATCGCCGTTTAACGTATGTACGTTACTTCAAGTAGTGACCTTTCGTTGGGTGTCTGGCATTGATTAAGTCGTCTTTTTGTCAAAACGGGCAGCGAAGGCCGTCATCACTTTACCAGTAATAAGTAGTGAAAAGCCTGCAAATGGCCAGCACTTTCCCATATTATTAATGTTAACTTCTCTTCAGTTGGCTCGTAACTTAATAAGGCATAAGTAGTGAAAGGCCTACACACGCAGTTTTTCGTAATATTAATAATAACTCCTCTTTAATGGGCATAAGGCGATTATAAAAATGATACTGGGATTTTAAAGGGAATGTACAGGCATCGCATCCTAATTTGTTAGTAGTGGGGTAAAGTTTGCGCACTGCTGACACACCTTCAAATGATCTTACTGGTTACTATCAAACGCTCAGTAGCGTATACTAATTTCGCTTAAAATACATTTTCTAGGATTTTTAAAACGATCACGGTCAAATTAATCACAAAATTTTAAGAAAATTACCTAAAATTTTAATCCTTAATAACGGTCAAATCGAGTCCGCCCTCGTTTCTAAGAATGGCTATCATTTGATGGTATTATAGGAAATACCAGATTACCTACACAATGGATCAAACGCAATTATGTAAATAGGTTTTTAAGTACCACAGAATTTATTAAAATTTATTTATATATGAGCTAAAATGTATTCTGTTAAAAAAAATTATTGGGTGGAAAAAAAGGTGATTTTGCACTTGATATCTTTAATATTTTAAGAAAATGTGAGGGTGAAGTAGAAGTGGTGAAAGTCATCAGCACACAAATATTAAAATAATGATATAGCTCAACAAATACTGAATTTATACTAACCTTTATTCCTTGTTGCTATAATTACTATCAAACAAAATAAACATAAACGAATTAACAGAGTTCTAAAAAATCGTCATCAAAATCATCACTATCACTAGAACTATCACTGCTGTCTTCATTAACATTAATAATAACTGTAGGAATTACAACATCATCCATTATAATTTCGCGATCTAAATATTTATCCTCGGCAGCTATTAAACGTGCACATCTTTTTTCCAGTCTTCTTGGGTTACTGATTTAGAATCAATTTCAGCTAACATTTGTACATGTGCTAATTTAAATTGAATATTCTTTATAGCTACATTATTTTTTACTGCAGCCCAGAAATTTCTATTGGATTTAAGTCTGGGTGGTATGGTGGTAATCTCAAAACTGTATGACCGTGTTCGGAGAATAATCTATCAAATTTGTATTGCTTGAATCTATTTTTATGCGGTTTGATTAATGTGTACAGCTGTGGTCGTAATAAGGAAGGTTGAAATTCAATATTGTTGGACGTCAACCAGTTTATTATTTCAGCTTTTCTTGAATTTGTATTCGGAGCAGGATTTTCTATAACATTGTGATACGGTGCATTATCCACAACTACAATAGCATTTGGTGGTAAATTTGGTATTATCAGTTCTCTTAGCTTTGGAGTGAGGGTAGCCATATGTGAGTAGTAGGGATTAAGTGTAAAGGTTAAAGAAAAAGTCCTTTATTTCTCACAAAGT